AGGGTTTGGGGTTTAGGGTTGAGCCCAATAAAGACTGGGATGGCTAAAGGAGCACTACAAACTTAGTGTCACAGGCAGATGTTATTCTCATTACTCAGGAATTGTTATTATTGTTGTGGTTACTATCATTATTCTCGCTACTATTACTCTTATTACAACTATTATTACTTTTACTCGTTTTTTAATCACTTTGTGTTATAACCATTAAGAACTGTTGTTGGCTTTGTTATTTGTCAGCCCATTGTATGCAATTAACTGTAGCTCAGGTTGAGAAGGGCAGGAAGCCTCCAAACCTCCATAGCATATTATAATATAAAGTTCAACAAAAGCAGGTCACAAACATAGACTAAACCCAAAAAAGCAGAGGCCCTTCTGCGTGGCTGACGTTACTTTGTCGGGATATGAAACTCACGTGTTCATGCTTAAGCTCTGTGATGGATCAGAGTAGCCCCTGGATCAGAGTAGCCCCTAAAACCATAACCTCAGCCCTAAGCCCTAAACGGTCCTAAAGCCCCAACCCCCTAAATCCTGAAACACGAAAGGCCTAAAGCCCCGAACGCTAAAAGCAACAACAATTTCCTCAATCGGTACAAGTGGCGACCTGGCAAAGGAGGCGAACAGCGGCCAACCGACCATTCCTGGAAGAACCGACTTTCGGAAGATAATGTAGGGGCCTTAATAATTAGAATTAGAATAAGGTTTTGGTGGTTCCTTGTTACAAGTCTCTGTCCCTTTTTGAGGGGTCTCCCTGATACTACCTAAGTACAGCGCGCAGGCTTAGCCTTGGTCTACTTGAACCCTCCACACCCTGAGCCGGCCGAGCTGATAATATAGGGGCCTTAATAACTAGAATAGGGCTGGGGGGATATCAAACTATAATTACATTAAGGAACCCCCCACACACCCAAGTCTAGTTTTAAGGCCCCTATAGTACGCAAAACATCGGCTTCAACTCGTGCTGCGGGCCAGAGCTCTGAAAACGCAACAGATACTCAAACCCTAAAAGGGTTTAGGGTTTCCGGGGTGTATTCAAAGCCTAAAGCCCAAACCCTAAAAACCGGGTAGCAAGTTCTAAGTCGCTGTGACGACTTCTCCCATCTCAAAAATCGGACGTCTGAGCACAACACACACACACACACTATAATTACAAGAGGGGCCTTACGAAGCAGGCTGGGGCTTGGGGGTATATTCTACTATACTTCTGATAGGGACTCCCGCCCTCAACCAAAAAGGCTTGGAGGGGTATCTTATACCATACTTAACATAAGGCGTTTAAAAAAGGAACCCACCCAAACACAAAAAGTGTAGCATACAGACCGAAAGAGAAGCAGCCCTGTGTTTGCAAACAGCGCTCCAGCTGGCAACGTGCAGGGGTGTCCAGCCCTCTCTGTCGCTGGTGTCGGCATTGGCTGCAGCTTCCAGCAGGCACCTCTTCAGGGCGTAGGATTTAGAAACTATGACCCAAAGGGCCCACGTACCATTATAGTAGGTACTCAGCAGGTGTTTGGACCCCTAAAGTATATACTATACTAGTACTTGGACCCTTTGGGTGACCTATAAGATTCAACTGAAGTTTGCTGAGGGCGTACAGCTTTCATAGGGGTTCAAGTCTCGGGTTTGCGAGACCGAAAGCTGCAACGCAGGCCACAGTAAGCTAAAGATGCCCTTGGAGTTGATCCAGAACGCACACTTGCAACATGGTAGTGTCACGAAACAGGAGACCCATGTATCTAGACCCTAAGCATAGGGATACTAACATCAGAGACTCTGCCAACTCCGTCTGTTTCACACTGCCAACACTCGGCAACTCTTTTGAACTGCTCTGAAACCCTACTGCTGCAGCCACAGCAGCCACACTAGAACCCCTAAGAATGTCAAGAAGCCCCCCAACCCCCGCCCCCCACACATGTCCTCCCGAAGAACCCCCTGGCCTCACAGTTCCCAGGCACCCGACCTGAGTTCAGGGCCGTGGCTTTGACTCGGGGTGTAGGATTTAGGGTTTAGGGTTTAGGGTTTAGCAAGTGGCTACTTAAGTGGAACAAGGCCTGGGGCAAGAGGGTATGGGGGGGCGGAGGTTTATGTGTCTACTAGAAGTAGGGCCATAGACTTCTTGTCTTGTCTTAGTAGTTGCAGATGTGGAATTTGGAGCATGAGCTGAGGGCAGCCTGGTTCGGGGTTCAGGGCTTGTGGTTTCAATCTCAACACTTTTGGTCAGTGGAGCATCCCAGCCGGGGTCGGTACATGATTATCCAGAGCAACAACGACCCTGATAAATATGTTTTTTTTATGGACCCCTCACCGGTTCTTGCTTGTCACCTAAACCCGGGCACAAGATCCGTATGAATGTTGAGCACTTCTGTTTGATGCCCGGGTTCGGAAAGTTAACTTTTTCGGAGCACTGTAACCGCGGAACAAAATTGAACGTTCAAGCTCTAACCCGGCAAGTCCGAAACCTCACAAATGAACGCGCCCACACAACGCACTATAAACCCCCAAACCCTGAACACACCCGCCTGGCAGGCGACGAAAAGAGCGCTTCTGCCATCGGCATCTCTGGCGTCGACATCCACGCCGCGTTGGATCCTCAGGGCGGATGAAAGCTGTGCCGGATTCAGGGAGTCGTGTTGTTTGGGCTCTTTCAATGGGTCAAGGCGTTAAGGGGGTTTAGGGTTCAGGGTTTATGTTTGAGGGTTTAGGAATCAAGGGTGAGGATTAAAGGCACAGGGCTTGTAGGGTTCAGGGTTGGGTCTTTTGAGGGTACGGAGATTCGGGCTCTATGGTTTCCCTGTGCCACGATTGATTCTTGGGATGTCTGGGCTGCGTACGATGCATTGTTGGAGTCTAATCTATAGGGTAGTGGCTGCTTTAGGGTTCGCGAGCAGTGATGGGCCATTCTTTTGGCAAGAGGGGGCTCCGGCTTTATCAGGTCTTCAGTCCAAGGCTGTGGAAGATGCCGTCAGTATCCGTCAGTACTACTATTGATGGATACCATAAATCCCATAGTTTAGGTATATAAGGTCATGCAGGATTTTGTCCATCAACTGTAGCAATAGCAGCAACGACACTCACCATTAGCAGTAATGCGATAAAGACCACCACAATCCAGACTTGTGGGCAAGCGCAAGTTGAAATGCCGAACCTCCCACAGCACTGAGACTCCTACCCTAAACCCTAATTACACCCTAAACCCTAAGCCCTAAAGCTTCGTCCTAGCACATCGGGAATGACAGACCCCGATGGTACTCTTTCGGATCCTCTGGGCAGTAAGGCGCCCGAAGCCGAAACTCCCAAACCCTCAAAGCCCCAAAGACGAGGAAACGGAACCACTAAATTTAGGGTTTAGTGTTTAGGGTTCACTAAACCAGACTAAACCCGACAAACCCTGCTAGCCCTAAACTCAAGGCATAGGCCGCCCACCATACCAGTAAAACTCCGAAAACCTAAACCCCAGAACTGCTCATAGTGGTCACTACACCTAGTCCCGATCCCCAAAGACTCGAAACCCCATTGGCCCCACTGTAGAGGCCTGAATAATTGAATAATATAGTTAGTGGATTGGTTCCGCGGCATATTTTGCGGCTACTTGTATCAAGGAAACCTATAGGATCACAAGCATTTTCAGGTCCCACACTACCCTAAAATCCCCCAAACCAACGAACCCTAAACCCTATAAACCTTAAAGGCCCTAAACCCATTGAAGTCTTTGCACCGTCACCACCGAGACGCAGGTAGGTGACGATGTGCCAGTTTCCAGCGCATGCGGCATCGTAGATAGGTGTTCTGCCAAGATCCTTAGGTATCGCAGAATCGCAGGCTTCGGGGTTTCGGTTTAGGATTTGGGTTTGGGGTTTGGGGTTTGGGGTTTAAGGTATTAGGGTATTAGGGTTTAGGGCTTAGCTAGGGTTTACGTTAACCCAAATAACCCAGATAACACAACTCCTGTTGGACGTATGAAAAGGAAGTCGCAATAAAACCTGCAAGCTCGGGTTTGGGATTTGGAGATTGTAATCTGGAGCGCTTGCAGTTTTTCTCGCAGTCGTATAGCTTTGTGGTTTGGGTTTAGGGTTTATAAACCCTAAACCCTAAACCCTTATAAGGGTTCAGGGTTTAGGGCTTGCGCGGGTGACTGGCAAAAACTCGCCACTTGAGCCGGGGAAGGTCCGGCAGTTTGGGGTCCTTTGCTTTGGGGTTTAGGGTTTAGGGTTTACCCTAAACCCTAAACCCTAAACCCTATAAACCCCAAACCCTAAACCTTAACCAGGGTTTAGGGTTTAGGGTTTACCCTTAACCCTAAACCTTAACCCCCTTGTTTAGGGTGCAGGGTTTAGGGGTTTCTGGGACGTTGGGGTTTCGACTTGTCAGGTCTGCTTGGTGTGGACCGGCTGGGGGAAGGGGGGCCCTAAACCCTAAACCCTAAACCCTAAACCGGGGGGACGTAGCACTGAACATTGAAAGTTCATCTGGGGGGCTGATAGGGTTTAGGGCTTATAGGGCTTATAGGGCTTATAGGGTTTATAGGGTTTATAGGGTTTATAGGGTTTATAGGGTTTATAGGGTTTATAGGGTTTATAGGGTTTATAGGGCTTTTTAGGGTTTATAGGGTTT